TTATTATGAATAAATTTTCATTTGTATTTGGTGTTATAGTCCATAACTTCTACTTGATTCTACATGTTGTGATATATAATTTATTTGTAACTTCCTCACTCTTATTAATAAAATTCTCTATTTTTTATAAAAAATAAAAAAACCAAAATAATAATAATTGATTGGAGAGAATATAAAATTCTTTTATAACAAATTGAAAGTTAATTATTTAGTATTATAAAAATTTTAACTCTTGAGTCTAACATCAAATTATAATTTTTTAACCTAAATGAGTATCGACTCATAAAATTTTACAGTGAGATCGTTTAGTTTATTTTAATTACAATTGTTAGTTTTTTTTTTTTTGCTTGTATAGTAGTCCAGAAATATTAAAACTTAGATACAACTCTTACAAGCTGACTATGAGTGCTTACTACAGATCCCAACACGTGTCCTGTTGGGTCTGGACTATACGGCTTTTGTTCAGGGTGAAAGATGGGCTGAGAGGCCCATTGGTCATAGCAATCCCAGCTCTCTGGGGGTCATGAAATACTAGCCCAATATGCCCTAAACAAAACCCATGCCATTTGGGGAGTTTGTTAGGGTCAGGATGTGGTTAGGAACTTAGGATAGGAATGGGTGTGGTTATTATTATTATAAAAAATATTAATATCATTAATATTTAAATTGTTTAAGGTAAAATTTTATATTAAGCATTTGAACTTAAATCAAAATTTTTATTAAGTTTTTAAACTTTTATTGCAAAGCAAATAAACTTCTAAATTTGTTGATTTGAATAATTTAACCTTTTCCTCACTATAGATCTAAGCTTGTTTGTGCATTTCTTCTGTGAACAAGGTCAATACTTATCATATAAGCAATGACAATACTTATTTTATAAGCAATGACATATCAATACCTTATTTATGCAAGTGATACACAAATTGATGTCAAGTTTGTTGTAAAGAAAAAGGTTAAATTGCCCATATTGTTAAGTTTAGGGGCTTAATCAAGAACTTGGGATTAGTTCGAGGGTTAGGGTTTTACCTTTTTTTTAATAGTGTTTAAAAATTTTAGTTTCTTAACTGATTTTAATTTATTAGTTAATGAATATCAACTATTATTTTAGTTATTAATATATTAGTTATTAATTAATTTTTTTGGATATCAAGTTTGAGATCTAAAGTTCAAACCTTAAATTTAGTGGAGAGGAATTTGAAAATAGGGGATGACTATTCGCTCCTATATAACTCATCTTTAGATGTATAAAAAAATTCTATTAGTTATTAATTAATTTGTTTGGTCCTAAATCCTCTAATGTCTAAAAACCACATTAACGCATAATTAATTTGAAATCGAGTCACATCAACTCTATAAGAAAAAACTCTTCCAGTACCTATCCCTTTATTTACAAAATTCAAATTCAAAATATTACTTAATGAAAATCGAATTTCTTTCACTTAGAGTAATAGATTGTAAATAATAACTATTAATTAATAGTTACGGTTATTAATAATTTTTATCAATCAAATTAAACAATATTGATATTTTTTAAGACAATATTCTAACCTTTTTCAGTGGGGTTAAAATTGTGGCTGGTAGCCATAACCCTACCCATACAAACCCCCCTCTGTGTTTTCTTTCCTGTTATTATTTAACCCCTCCCCCCCCCCCCCCCCCCCCCCTACCCCATTTTTTTCCTTTAAGTGGAGTGAGAGCTTAGAAAGCTAAAATCCAAAGATATAATCTGCCTAAAAAGAGTTGAAAGTTGAACTAGATTTTATTCTGCTGTTTTCTTTGTTTCCTTTGTGGATCATTTTATTGACTAGTCTCATGCCCCTAGTATTCTTGTAAGAGAAAAGGTAAAAGGGGGGAAAAAAAAAGAAAAAAAAAAAAGAAGAAAAAAATGTGGTTCTTTTCTCCTTGGATGAAGGTTGGTACTTTAGTTGGAGAAAGAAAATCTACCAGGTTGGTTGTTTGTCAACCTTCATGTCTTTCAACCAAAAGAAGAGCACTCAAAAACACTTTATTTTTGCCAGCTTTCAAACACTTGCTTTCTACTCAAATTTCAGCAGTAAACAAAAGACATATCTGCTTGTTGCTTGTTTTCAATGTTCTTTTTCTGGCATACTGACAACACCAAACCTTGATTAATTGGTGATTAGCGCAATCCGCGAAAAGGATATCTATACTAACCATGAGAAGGATATTTGGACTAACCATGAAAGTAGATTAATACAGAACATTAATATAAAGGTGTTGCTAAGAACCCTTAAATGTATTCCAGCACTACAAAAAATAAAATAAAATAAAATTTTGCTTGATGTGATGCCCTTCATTACAATTACTAAAATTGTATTAAAATAGTATTTATAATGCCTTTTGTTACGATGATTTATGCTGAAAAAGGGTATCACAATTGAAATTTTTTTTAGTACAGTAATAAACCACATGATTTAATTGAACTATTAAGGAACTGCAGAGATGCATTAAGAATTGATTAAGTCAAAAGAGGGTATTGATTAAGTCTTGACACTGTGAGAGATCACCATGCTTGATGCATCCATTTTTCCTTCGGAAATTTGGACCACCCCCACATGAAAGGTTTAAAAAAAGGTGGTGCCTGTGGGGACAGAAGTGGGGAAGGGAGAGATACCTTTTGCTGGTTATTATTGGCATTGACTTGCTTGTCCAAATGTCTTTGGAAAGTTCACCTTTTTCTGTTCTAATTCTGGGATTCTAAGCCTTCCCCTTGTCACACCATTCCCATCTCCCCATCACTACCTCTTACCTTAGCCAATACCAACGGACACCGTCCCTTAGCAAGTCAAGGCATTACTTAGTCCCCTTCACACCTCAGAAATGCTTCAACAGTCTGAGTTGCAGATAATCTTTGTGTCACAATTTGGAATAAGGTTCTATGACGTGATCTTGACTCCATGTAAACAAATAAAAAGCGACAAAAACAGATGGCAGAGAAGTACCTGAGTTTATAATGTTCTTAGAAACTGGTTTCTGAAGCTTACAAGCTTCCATTGGACCTCAATACATCATTTGTTTTCATTTCTAATTTGTCTTCTTTACTAACTTCTCTTGAGTATTATAAAAGATTCCATTAGATGGTAAGTTTGCTGCCAGAAATATACAAATGTTACCAATTTCAGACTCTATCAATTCTGCATCTAAATGTCAGTCAGGCTTTCTGATGGATCTTGTTCTTTTCAAAATTGAGAAAAATACTTGAAAAATGAAACTTGGCTGGTAGAAACACTGTTTTTCTGTTTCAAAATTTATGAGAACACATGGGACTCCAACCCACCATCCGTGTAGAAAAATCCCAGTTTCATGATTGGAACTCACCAACAGCCAGAATATCAGTAATTTCAACTCCATGATTTGGAGGATCAATATTGAAGGATTTCTGTCAGTTTCAATTGAAAATTGAAACTCTTTTAACTTACTCTAGAAATGAATTAGTATTTTATTTGTTTCTTCTTGATATTCCCTCTAAGTTTTGGCATTGAAAAACCATACATGTGACGTGTTCAAGATCGTGATATACAATAAGATAAAACAGAAGTTTCATTTGTTTATTAATATATTGGCACCGCAAATTTCAACCCTTTCTGATAGAAGCTTAAATTTGTCACATAGGCTGTTCTGTCCTGGACCATAAGTTCATAACCAATTTGCTTATTGGATCATGATAAAGAGGGAATTTATTCATTATCTTGTTAATCAATGTTTAACTCCTTAATACTTTCAAAGTCAAAATAAGATATTGCTTCATAAAGTTTTTAGTATCATACCTCATTTTTTTATCTCGTGTAATTATAACCATTGTTAACATTGTTAAAACCATCAAAATTTTAATTTTTTTCTTAAATAATATTTAAAAATATTAATTTATTAACTAAGTTTAATTTATTAACTAATAAATAATAATTATTTTATTATTCATTAATTAATAATTATAGTTATTAATTTTTTTATCAATTAAATTAAATTAAATTAATATTTTAAAAAATAATACTTTCTATTTTAATAATCATATTATTACTGTTATTAGTCATAAGCATATTCCCTTGTACCTAGGAAATTTTAATCAATAATTTTCCGAAGTTTAGAATTGCAAGGTTTAGGGCTAAGCTCTCCACACTCATTGGACTCCCATATAGACTAGGCTTTCGTGTTTGACTGCAATTATCAATAAATAATTTAAAAAGGTATCCACTGAAAACATTTCAATTTTCCTCTATATTTCTGTAGCTCTCTCTCTCTCATCAGTGATAAAAGACTTTATCTGAGTACTAAGAATCATGACAAAAAAAGAGAGACTGGGGTTGGTCATCCTTGCTACAGAGGTACACCTTTTTCTTTTGTGTGGATCTTGGAAAGGTCAAGAGCCATAAACATATTTTATTATGAGGATTCTGGGACAAACGTTAATCAATTTGGTACTGAAGGACAATTTAGGGTATCTTGCTATGTGCCTAATTTCTGTAAAAAGGAGATTAGACAAAGAGAAACCCCACAACACCTCATTTCATTTCAGGCATCCTATGTCTCCTTTAAACCTCACCTTTCATCCCTTTTGAGGTGAATCTTGCTTTTCTTCTAACCTTACTTCTCTTAGCAACATACATTTGGACGTTACGTGTTCTTCATTAGTGTTCATAATCCTTTATATTTGTCTGCACCTAATGAATCTTTAAAAGAAACAGAATAAAAAACATAAATGTACAAAAGATCCTAATACAAATGAAAAGTGTTGTACACTATCAAATTATATAACACTAATTATTAAATATAAATTAAATTTTTTTTAATAATAAGTGCCCTCCTCTATTCAGTTCAATAGTAACATGTTTTACTAGCACAGTGAACATAATAAAATAAAGGTCCAATACAAATACGTAGATAGAAAGATGCTACTTAGCATGGTACGAAGAGCACACAGCGGTAGCAGACATGGCAGGAAAGAGGGTCAACAACTCCCACTTGCTTCCCTACAAGAGAAAAGAATATGGAAATTGGGATATCATAGAGCATGATTATAATATTATTTCCTTGGCTCAAACAGTCATAGTGACAATTTATCATTCTCCCCTCTGATTAGTCTGCTTTTTCTCTCTGTTTTAGGTGAAGCCTGTAGACTTTAGGACCTTTTGACATCAAAGGGGGTCTACTCTCGTGTATGAGCGATGGCAACTTTCTTCCTCCATTAAATCCACGAGCTGGTTTGCATCTTTTGATGCAAAAAGGGACTCCCCCATCGCAAAAGCTAACTGATTTATAGCGATTGAGGGAAGTGAATTCCTTCAAGTTGAAGAGCTACTGGTTAAAACCCAAAAAGCCTTACCTTTTGTAACCGTATTTGTGGGTTTTTACTCAAAGCATCTCAGCATCTCTCTGCCATGTTCACACTCTGTTCTTAGCAGCGATATGATCGCTTTGTACTCTGTGGATATGTCCTGGAATCTCTTCTCCCCTCAAATGCAAGGAGACAATTGAAGTCTACAGTCCAATTATTACCGGTGTAAGTGGGTGCGGTCCGTCTTCCAAAGAACCCATCAAGCATTTGCTTGTTTTATCTTCCACACTGCAATTGGTAAATTTTTTTACTTTGTTCTTAATTTCTCCTATCTGTTCCTGGGATTTTCTCTTTTAGTAAGAAAATTTGTTTTCTTGTCTCCAATAATTTTCTCAGGATGGGTTTTGAAGGCATTTCAGAAAGTAAAATGTTGGGATTGAGAGAGACACTGGGTCACAAGCGTTCAAAGAGGTAATGTTCAATTCTTTTGTTTGTTTTTCAATTCTAAACGGCTTTTTCCTGTTTTGGGGAATGCATACGATATGGGTTTTCTCTTTCGGAAATGACTTCTGAAATCGATTAATCAAAAAAGTTGCATGCTTTGAATGTTTATAGCTACACTATACAACTGTATGTTTCACGAGTGAAAAACTTGAGCAAACTTGCATTTACCTGTGGTCCTGATGGATCAACAGAAGATAGTTCTTTTATGGGAATCAAATCGTTTCTCCCCTCTACTTGAGATTATTAATTACACTGTTTCTCCTTCTTAAGCATTCAATCTTCTTCCTTTTTTTGTAACGTCTGGAATTAGTGAGTTACAGTGAGTTAAGTAATTGAAACCGTACTTGAGAATGGTTTTTGGGAAATAATGGCTAAGTGGACCATATCAAGTGGGTGAGGGTGAAGTGTCTGGTTTCCTTCTTTGCAATAGAAACAAGAGAGAGAATTGTTGCTTTGGTCTAGCTGAGTACCCATGCAGCAGCCTAGGATTGCAATGACAATCTTCAAAACCCATTTTCTACGAATTTTACCTATTGAATCTTTATGCTTGATTTTTCGCCATGGCAGCTTTCCTGATAAGAGAAGTGCAGAGGAAGATGGCCAAGGCCAGGATAGTTCTCTTGAAGCATCGAACTGGATAAAGCTGGTAAGTTAAGCCCTTTTAACTTTAAAGATTTCTATAGTATTATTATCTGAAGATGGTTAGGAAACTTTAAACATAATGATTTGATTATCTTATTGTTTTTCTTACTGGCTACCCTTTTTTTGAATCCTATGCAAAGAGTGTGAGGACTCTAAGCACAATGATAGCCTAAACTCACTGCAAGAATCTCCTTCTCCTCTTTGCCATATTCCTTTTAATCTTTTACATTTTTTGGTGGTTCTTTTGTTGATTGATGAATGTGATAGTTTATGAGTTAGGTTCAATCTTGAATCATAAAGTTGATGCCTTTGATGATAGTCACTGTTTCAGCTTTGGAATCTAGATAGAGCTGAAAAGCAAAAATACTACATTTCATTTATGTGGGTAAGCTGGGGAGTAAGGCCTGCATTTCATTTATGTGAGGCCAGACTAATTGCTTTAGATCATTGACAACACATGCATTGTGAATGAATCTGTTCCCAGGAAATATTCTTATTCAATTTTGGTGTCTAATTTTTTGTGCTCTTTGGTGTCAGGCTATGAGGCAGTCTAAGGACAATGCCAAAGCTGAGAAGCAATCCCCTGGCTCTGAGGTCCAAAACTCTCTGAAGCAAGAGGTGTGAACTCAACCTGTTCTTCATTGTAGTCATGGGCTTTAATCATTTGGAAAAAGGGTTGATTAGGCCATCACTCATGACCAGGCTGCACCCTGCAGCATGCAACTTATGAGTTACTGAGAAGTGAGAAATAATGTTGATTGTTGATTTTATTTTATGCAGATTCTACAGCTTGAGAAAAGATTAAAGGACCAATTTGAGGTCCGACGTGCATTAGAAAAGGCATTGGGGTATAGAACTGCCTCCCATGATAATACAAATGAAACACCAACAGTAATACCCAAGGTAGCTCCTCTCCATCATAGTTAATTTTTGGAAATACCATTTAAATCTTTTCAACAGAATGGACCAAGGAATCCTTAAATGCCAGGGTCTATAATAAATTGAGTTTCTTGACTTTGTTTCTTCCCTTCTTACCACATATTTGTTTTGTGTAGTCTTACAACTGCTTTTTTGTTGTTCCAGCCAGCTACAGAATTAATTAGGGAGATTGCAGTCTTGGAATTGGAGGTTGTATATTTGGAACAGCATCTTCTCTCCTTGTACCGGAAAGCATTTGATCACCAAATGTCTAGTGTATCTCCTTCTAAAAGGGATGAAAGATTAAAATCACCTTTAGCTAATCCACGAGGGAGGTTTTTGGAAGTTTCCAGACCTGATATTGCATCAAAAGTAGAAAATTCTGCTACTGAATCTGGGTTTGACATTCCATTGAAGCAGTCTAGTGGTATTTGCAGAGAAGAGAAACTAATAGATTCTGGTGTTAATCGTTGTCATTCATCACTATCATATCGCTCAACATTTCATACAAGAACTTCTCCTCCAGAGGAGTCTTTTGGAAAGGCTCTGCGTGCCTGCCATTCTCAACCTCTGTCCATGATGGAGGTAATGCAAACATTTAACATATGATAATTTTCAGTGTCCTTTTATTTTTCATGTTCAGTTTCCTTCTAATGCTTATTATATTGTACTGGCCAAAGAGTAAGGCACATATACATGGTATTTGAAGATCTTTGATGAATCTTAACTTACAAAACTTCTCAACAGTATGCGCGGAATGGGTCAAACATAATCAGTCTGGCTGAGCATCTTGGCACTCGCATTTCAGATCATGTTCCAGTGACACCAAACAAGCTTTCTGAGGATATGATAAAGTGCATGTCAGCTATTTATTGCAAGCTTGCAGACCCACCTTTGACACATAATGGCCTCTCATCTCCAAATTCATCTATATCCTCACCTGGTGCATTTTCCCCACAGGATCATTGTGATATTTGGGGCCCTGGGTTCAGAAATAGTTCATCTTTTGATGTACGGTTAGATAACCCTTTCCATGTTGAAGGACTTAAAGAATTCAGTGGACCATATAGCACAATGCTTGAAGTGCCATGGATTCACCGAGACAGTCAGAAAATGGGTGACATTGAACCCTTGCTACAAAATTTCAGGTGAGTCTTTTTTACATGCTTTGTTCTGATAAAACTGAGTTACCAATATGCTTAACTAATTATCCTCTTACAGGTTGCTTATTTGTCGATTGGAAGAGGTTGATCCCAGGAAGTTGAAGCATGAGGAGAAGCTAGCCTTCTGGATCAATGTACACAATGCGCTAGTGATGCATGTAATTCTTTTTTTTTACTGATAACATTTACTTTACATTGCTGACCCATTGTTTAGTTGTTGTTGGTTTTTTTTTTTTTTTTTTCCTTCCATAGATATAACGAGTTCTTTATTTCCCTCAATAGGCATTTTTGGCTTATGGCATTCCACAAAATAATGTGAAGAGAGTCTTTCTACTATTGAAGGTAAGGATAACCTCTCAATTATCTGAGTTGAAGAATGAAATTAGATGTATCATTTAGTTTCTTACACTATTGCCCTATCCAGGCTGCATATAATATAGGGGGCCACACCATCAGTGCAGACATGATACAGAGTTCTATTCTTGGGTGTCGGATGTCTCGTCCAGGACAGGTGGTATCAAACAGCATCTTAGATTCATTTGCTGCTAAAGAATTTTTAAGATCATGGGGAGATATATACATATGACTTGTTCAGATCATGGAAAGTTTTCATCACATACACATGAAAAGCTTTCTTGCATTTTGGAGCCCTATACTGTAATCTGTAAAGGAAAAACCAAAAGAAAAAAGAGAAAGCAGAAGGACTTCCTCAAGAATTATTATGAGATGAAACGAAGCACTTTAACTATTATCTCATCTTTTTTTCAACTCTGTTTAAAGATTGGCCAAAATGTAAAAGGCAATGTTTAAAGTGTTGTTGATAGAACTTTCTTCTGTTTGTAGTGGCTTCGCTTGTTATTTTCTTCAAGGACAAAATTTAAGGCTGGAGATGAAAGGCAGGCATATCCAATTGAGCATCCAGAACCTCTTTTGCACTTTGCACTCTGTTCAGGAAGCCATTCTGATCCTGCGGTACTTAACCATCAATCTGCTTTCTCATTTCTATAATGGCTCTATCGTGTTATATTCGTGTTAAGCAAACATAATAAGCAAACTAAATTATCCTTCTGACATGAAAATTTCACTGAGAATCTAATTAGTAGTTGGCCATCCTTGTTTCTTTCACAGTAACGCCCCCACAGTAGTGAGTACTGAGTAGGCTTGTGGTTAAATTGTGTGCAAGTGATGAACAGAATAACATGATCGAGATTAAAGATGTAATTTAGTTTTCTATGTCTTAGAGATATCTTGTATTCAGTTTCTTTTCCACAGTAAGTATGAACCTCCTGAATGTTAACTCTGTGTTCAGGTCCGTGTCTATTCACCAAAGAGAGTATTCCAAGAGCTGGAAGCTGCAAAAGAAGAGTACATCCGAGCAACCTTTGGCATCCGCAAAGACCATAAAATAATTTTACCAAAGATTGTGGAGTCATTTACAAAGGATTCAGGTTTGTGTCCAGCTGGTATCATGGAGATGATCCAACAGTCTCTGCCTGAATCACTGCGTAGGAGTGTCAAGAAATGTCACTTCGGAAAATCCCGTAAGAACATAGAATGGACCCCACATAATTTCAGTTTTCGTTATCTAATATCCAAGGAGTTAGCATTAAGATGATTGCGGTGCCTTTGACATACCTGCATCTTATGAAGAGTTGATTTTGGAAAGATATAGCATTTCAATGTACAAAGTAGAAAGATAAAGAGGGAAATGGTAGGATATAGCAGGCAAAACCTTACATGTAATTGTCATCATCCCGTGGCCCATACTGGTTACCGGAAAAATGTCAGGTCTGGCTTTTGTAATGTGAAGGATTCAACATGTGCATTAAGGGTTGTAAATATACCTATTGCAATGATGCTTATAAAACTGAAACTACTAATTACGAAGAAAGAACACACTTAAATACCCTCCACGACCCTCTGAGGGATCTTTCAGATGGTAAGCCTCTGAATTAGTCCCAACTGCTCTCTCAAACTGACCTCTCAAGTACTTATACTCACCTGCCGCCACTGAACCCTTCTCTGGCCATATCCCAGCGCCGGCGGTGACCATTTTCATCGCCTCAATAAGCAACCTCTCATCCTCATCCACCTCCCTCCTGGTGACCAACCCCATTCTCTGTCCATTACAATACATCACCCATGTGCCGGAATCCTGGACGGGCTCCAGCATGATGCAGAGAATGCCATTGTCAATCAGGTCGGTGAATGCTGGCGTGCTGAGCGGGAACTCAACCAGCATGAAGGGTAAGCATGTGGGGTCGTTTTGCAGAGCGAGCCTAACTCTGCTGTAGTTAATGGGACAGATGAAGGTACCAGTGACGGTTGCATTGTGCGGTAAGCAATGTGAAATTGTCAAAGTCCGGCAGGCCCAGCACGGGACCATGAGGTTCCGTATTGGCCGGAGCAGATTCCCCCATGTGATCTGCCTATGACCGTCACCAGTTGTGTCTGTACCATCACTACTTCCATCTCTGATCATTCTTGTTTCTCAAGAGAATGAAGATACCAATAGACATAGGATCCATATTAAAGAGTTGTGTACACTTGTAACTGAATGAAGTCAGTTAGTAGTTCAGATATTTTGGCTGATTTTGATTTCCATGCTTGTTTTCAGGATTCCAAACTGACCATGTCTTTTGGGTAAATTGGGTTGGACTCTAGTTCAGTGCTAAATCCCAAATTGCAAAATACATCCCTAAGAAAATAAAACCGTGTTGATTTATATACAATATTTTTCTATGATGAAATCTGCATGGTATACTATGAATTACGCGTAATTAATACTAAAATACTCATACAAGCATACTTGTAACCCATCCCACACTTAAACTATATAATTTAAATTTAAAATCTTTGTTCTACTAAAAAAACTAAAAGAAGAGATTATTATTGAACTAGATAGGGGATACATGAATAACAGCAACAACATCATTAAATAGGCCTCAAATTAAAGATTTTATTGTACAAAGTAAAAACACAATATTAATGCAGCAAATTAAGAATTTATCCAACATAATAACACCTTTCGGCCAAAAAAAAAAACATAATAATACAGCATTCACCGACACAGATAGATAGATTTAATTAGACAGGACTAATTTTCTAGTATGGTTTTTCTCCTATGAAATTTCCAGGAGGATTATAAAAGCATATGGTTAAGCTGGTTTGCTCCTTGGTGCAGGTGGTTTGTGCACAGCCTAATTCCGAAGAATTCTTCCATACCACCTGGGTATAAACGCCACACCAATGATCCGGTGCGCAAGAATTGTCAGTGTAGTTGTAGTACCTCTTCTCTTCTACCCATTGATCCACTGCCATCTGGGGAGTCACGGTCCCTCCACCGGACCACAACTGGTTGCCGCCGTACTTGCTGCTTGTTAGGTTGGCAAATTGGCAACCCATCTTGTTCCTCTGGAATCTAACGAGGAGGCTGGTGGCATTGGCGAGCTGCTCGCTCCAACTAAGAGGACCGACTCCAACTGCAGCCCTTGCTTGGTTGTGTGCATCCAGGAACTCCACGGCCGCACTAGAGTTTGGAGAACTACCTGCTGGTGCAATTCCATGAGCTGGGTTATGGCATATGGCTAGAGCCAGAAGGGCAAGCAAGGCATAGACCATGGCTGATTTGTCTATGATGGTAATGCAGGGGAAGTACTGGTATCTATTTATGTTGTGGAAAATGGAATGGGGAAACAGGGCAGAGGCAGAGGCAGAGGCGGATGGGTAAGGGGCTTGGGAGTTGGGACAATGTCACGGGGTGAGCAGCTAGAATGGGTAATGGCACACAAAATTGGGAGGGTTTTGGTGTATTTTAATGTTGTTTACATTAGATCAGGTAATTAAGATTGATTAATCCCAAGAATCAGATTTTCCTTTGAGCAGTGCACCATGCACGTGAAGTTTTTTACAGCTGGTCCCTGAAGTTGATCTGCCCATGTGATGTGCATTTATATTCATTTAAATTTAACGCCATTTTGTTTTTATGTATATCACTTATATGTTAAATTAAAAATTTTGAATTTGAGTTATATAATATATAAATAGAATAAATTTAAATGATAAGTGAAAATTGTCCGTCATTGAGCACAAAATCAAAAGTAAAAAAAAAATGATAATTAAAACGATAGAATGAGATGAAAACAGAAGCCGAACATGAGGTGACAGTCATTTTAATAAAATATTATTTTAAAGAAGATTTTACATAATAGACAATCAACAAGGTATATCATTCGTCCGGTAAAATTATCTCATATATTCGTCTTCCATATCATCACCCAAAAAAAAAAGTTCACTCTGCCAGTCTACCCTTACAGAAGGATTTCTTAGTTGTAAGAACTATGGGTGTATATATTGCCAAATTCAGTTGGAACGTTAGCTCTTGCCAGCCGTGGGCCTGGAATAGACCCAACCCGGCCAACCGTTTCGTTTAAGAAAAGTCCAATAACCAGCTGGTTACAAACCCAAACGCCTGTTTCTCATTTAATTAGTTTGAATGATGTAGTTTATTATGATTTAAATTATATAACATTTTTTAAAATTAATTCTAAGTATGTGGTTAAGGATATATATATACTTTTTGATCAGGTTGAAATTAATGACATATATTAATTAAGTAAAAAAATGAGAAATGAAATCCATAAAATTTAAACATATCAAGCATAACATTACTCACAAGAAGTAAATGACTCTAACTTAGAGGTCCATACTGCAGAATAAGCTATTCATGGTTAAGAATATATATAATTTTACTATTAAACCAATAATCGATGATGGTCTCTGCTTAGTCCCTTTCAATCTCCTATAACAGAAGGAAAAACAGCTCTCAAGTAGTGCATTTGTCAGTTGTCCTCTCAATTCAATTGTGTGGCATAGTTTAATTTACATAATATTTTTTAAAATTAATGTTAAATATCTAATTAAAAGTATATATAATCTTACTGTTGAACTACATAATTGAAGATGATCTCAGCCTAGTCTCTTTCAATCTCTTGTAACAAAAGAAAAAACAACTCTCAGGTAGTGCATTCGTGAGTTGTCCTCTCAATTCAACTGTAATGGTAAATTCCTTCTGATTTTTTGTTTTCCTCTTTACATTTTGTGCGAAACTTAGAAAATTTTAACCAATTTCCTTTTGGAGCAACTAATAGTTACCAATGAAAGTGGAAAAAAACCCAACTAGAGGTCAAATGACTTGGAAAGCATTGACAACCAAACCAAATATCCCACTTCAGATTCAGAGTACCATTCCCATAAACAACATATAGAGCCAATAGAGGAATGAAACAAAACATGGGATTGCACTAGAAAGGGTGTGGTTATGCCACCCACAAAATGTTGGGTCACCCTTTTTTCAATATTTGTCTTAAAAATATTGATTCTATTTAATTTAATTATTAAAATTAATTAATAATTATTATTATTTATTAATAATTAAAAATAATTTATATTTATTAATTAATAAACTAAAATAAAAAACAAATTAAAATATCAAAAGATCATAATTAACAATTCAAAAATAAAAAATATTTGTGTGGCTATAACATTTTATTGTGTCACAGTATATAAACCACACCTGACTGAAAGAGGCCTGCCTCAGTTGCACTAGTTCAGTCATTGTAGCGCCAACATTTCAACATGGTACTAATTACCAAATAATTGTTTACAATGACAACTAATCTTAATGGGAAACTAACATCCACGTTGACTTTAAACTACAATTCATAAAAATTAATCAACAGAAAACACTAATTTTTCTACAAAACCAGGGGCTACAATTATAATCTGCTTAAAGAATGATAATTGAATGAAAAATTAATGCCCCACCGGTCTTGCATATGCCGATCACCGGAGAATTAGCCTGGAATTGTCGATGGTACAGTTCCGAGCCCGGAACTGGCTTTTACGGCGAGAGCGCAGAGATCGGGCAGGGAGAGGGACTTGTTGGAGTGAGAGAGTGGGAGGAGGAAGTATATCTGGTCAGGTTGTAGCTCCTCGTCGTTGGGCATGGCAGGGACAGAGGTGCCAATGGACATGGCTTCGGAGCTGCAGAGGAAGTGGTCGGGATTCAGGGAAGTGACGTGTTTTGCTTGAACTGGGGGCTTGAAATCTTGAATCCGACCGTCCATGTGTACAACCTTAGCTGTTGGCATGTGTTTAGTGGCGGTTAGTGCTCCTCCGGCACCGACAACGGTTCCTGTTCTACGTGGGCTTGGATTTGGAGTAGATAAGCAGGCACCCATATGGAGAGAGATCAGTTGATCCTTGATCGTGTGTGTGATCAGAGGCAATTTTGCAGTTATAGGGGTTGGTTTTTCTTGCAACTTACCATTCAGGGTACATTTATAGGCGTTGGTTTTTCTGGGAGCTGAACTTTTCTAGACTCTTTCCTAAGGGATTCCCCTCAAAGTTCAAAGGCAGACCCGTTTCCTCACTCGGCGTGTCTTTTCTGTCATTCCCATTTGCATTTTCTACTCCCACGAGTAGTACTTTTTCTATGCTTTTTTAATTTTAATTTTCAACTGTATAAGGGGATATGAGTATATTTTCATTCCCAGTTAAGGAA